ATCAATGTAGCAGTGAGGCGCGAATTTCAGTCAGGGTGCTAGGTGTCGTGTCCGAACAGAAATCGTGTCGACGGAACCTGCTGCCGTTGCCGAAGAATCGACGTGCGAAAACGGGAGCGAGAGATAAAGAGATTCTTAGTAAATTCTTTAAGACACATACACGCGTACGAGGTGGAAGTGACAAGAGATCGAAGATTCAAGCGACTCTCTGTCTTCGAGAAGTAGTCAATGATGAGGAATCGATGAAGGATCACTGGCATGGCCACGCGACTCAGCCCCCGAAACTCGGAGGTGAACGCTCTCGAGCAGAGGGGCTATCTCATCGGCAAGAAGATCGGACAGGTTGTTCCTTTAATCTCGTGCTCTCCTTTTATACCGCTTACGCAGACTTCCTTTAACTTTTCGCTTCCGAGATGTGGAATGTGACATGGATTATATTTCTTTGCGATATTTGTGATGACGAATTGAATAAAAAAATGTTTTGCGCTTACATTTTTCTTTGCAACACAATTGCAATTAAGGATTCTACACGCTGTTATATGTGGAACTAACATTTTCAGGGCTCTTACGCGACTGTCCATCTGGCAGAGTATATCGATGGAACGAGTTCCAAGAGAATGCGTCTGGCCTGTAAGATTTTTGACAAGGAAAAAGCACCGCCCGATTTTTTGGAGAAGTTCTTTCCCCGCGAGCTCGAGATTTTAACAAAAATAGAAAATCCGCATATTATTCAAGTAAGATGTCGGAAACGCATTAGTTCATCCTTTCTTTCATTGCTTTCTTTATAGGAAGAAAGAAACAACTCCAACTAAGTTTGCCTAACTATTTTTGACGCACATCATCGTTCTATTCCTAATTAAATTGCATTTATCGAATGGTTGGTCGCGCAGGTACACAGTATCCTGCAGCGCGGCTCGCGTGTCTTCATCTTCATGCGCCGACAACGGCGACCTGTTAGACTTCGTCAAGAATAACGGGGTCGTGCCAGAACAGCAGTCACGACTCTGGTTTCGTCAGATGGCGTCCGGCCTGCACTATTTGCACGGCAAGAACATCGCCCACCGGGATCTCAAGTGCGAGAACATACTACTCTCGCGCAAGTTCAATGTAAAACTGGCAGACTTCGGTTTCGCCAGATTCTGCATGAATCACGAGGGCAGGCGGGTCCTCAGCCAGACGTACTGCGGCTCGGCGGCCTACGCCGCGCCGGAAGTCGTCGCCGGCACACCGTACAATCCGAAATTGGCGGACGGTGTGGTCGCTCGGTATCATCCTCTTCATTATGCTGAACGGAACGATGCCGTTCGACGATGAGAATCTGCCGAAGCTTCTCAAGGATCAGATGTCGCGGAATTGGGTGTTCAGATCGCGCGTCCGAGACACGGTGTCCACGCTGGCTAAGAATATCGTTCGGCAAATTCTCGAGCCGGACATCACCCTCAGGCTGACCCTCGAAAGAGTGTTGAGCCACGAGTGGGTGAGAGCGAGGAAGGAGAGAACGGGCTCCATTGCCGGCAGGCTTGTCCATTCAGCGCCGCCGAGTCATACGGTTACAACATTCATCGTATTATCGTATTCAAGGCTCTTGGTCTCTTGCTGTAGTTATATCGCATTTTAATGTCGGAAGCACAAAATTAAGTAAACCATTTGCCACTATATATCGAAATAAATTTTAATTTATAATATGTACTATGTTAAGTCACTTTTTTTTCGAAAATTGAGTTATTATTATCGCGAGACTCTATACTCCAATTTTTAGCCGATGTCAAACAGTTTTAAGTTTTTAGTTACAGCGCTTAAAGATTTTGACAATTTTTGTTAAGATTAATTTCTTTAAAATCTTCAGGAAATCGCAAATATCTCCCAAAATCTGCCTCCAGCATCTGTCAAGGGAATAAGTACTCGAAAGTATAATCACTTACAGTCTCTGCTTAAATGGGTGCCTAAAATATTTCATTTTTACAAGAATTATAAACATAAGTATTTTATTGAGAGCACATGAAAAGCGAAACATCTCTTTAGATCCTTCTGAAAAATTATGTTTATATGATTTAACATACTCTGCTTCTGAGGTGCTGATATATTAATAACTAGAATTAATATAAATAAACTAAATAAATTTTTTCGCATGTAACTCGCATGCGATTGCATTGGCAAAATATTATTTCTGAAGAACTTTCTTTCGTGGTTGCTTTCTTTGTTAAAAAATGAATGTATAATTCAACACATGACATAATTTAAATTTTCAGCAAAACTAGAAACCTTAAATACAATTTATCAAATCATTTATCTCGATATATAGTACAGAGAAAAAATTATCTAGTATTTAGATATCTTACTATCGCTGCAGTAAGAAATCAAAAGCCTTCATATTTAATCGATAAAACATCGTAAAATCTTAATTAAATAACTATTCGATCGATATTAGTTGAAACTTTTAAAAATAAGATGAGAAGGATCTTCGTAAAAATCGCCTTAGTATAAAACTGTACAGATTCGTTTAAATTTGGATGCGCAGTTATCTTTTTTAAATTATAACAAATTCAATTATATATAATAATACATAACTCCGAATAATTATACATAACTCCGCATAAACATTATTTCCTGTAAATAACTTAATAATTTGTCACTTGTATAATTAGATGTGTAGAGGCGGTAATCTAGGCGGGTCGGATGCTGCAGGAACCGGAAATGTATCTATTGTCGCGAGGGCACTCCTTGCATTAAGAAATTTAGAAAATCACCATCAACCGTCCTCGAAAATGGTAAATAACTCGGGGAAAGATTCACAACTGCCTATCATTGTCGGATAAAGAGAAGATTCTTGAGGAGAATTGGTCAATCAAGATATACAAAATTGGAAATACAGAAGATTTCAAGCTAACAATTTCAAATAGCCATTTTCGAAGATATTTACACTTGTCTTTTATAGTATTTTTCTTAATTTTCTATTGATCGCGATCAATGGAAATTTACATAATGTTGATAATGTATTGTTGCTTATATAATAAAAACGTTCCTCATTTTGCAATTCGATGTAAATCCCTGTCTAAAGAAATATATGAAAAAATTTTATTATATTTCATAACAATGTAAAATGTTATTCAACCATTTGTATTTATGCTAAAAATATTTTAATATATCAAGTATATATATTTATAAATTTTTTGTTTTTAAATTGGTCTTTTATATAAGACTTTCTATATCTAAGAAAAATATGCAGAAGCTGAGCAAAATCGCTCATCCCATCAATGTGATTACTTCTTTTACTCGGTTACACCGGAATTGATGCTGAAGCGGGTACTTTGTCACTATACAGGGTGGTTATTATATATTACGTATTGAATAACTAGACATAAAAACATTTTATTTTGTACAATTTAATTAATAATATTATATATTTAGTTTTATTGAGATTAATACATTTGAATGCAATATGGTACTACTATTTTAGGGAAATTTCAATACTAATATTTGTTTGAATAATGGAACAATATTATTAATGTATTCTAAATGAGTTGATAGTTTGCTCTCTCGCTTTAACCATTTGCAACGCCGAATACAAATTCAATTTATGTTATTAATTGTAAGTATATCGATCGAAAGCCCTACAATATAAAGGGAAACAATATGTACATATAGTAAGTAAAAATTACAAAATACATTTAAAAGCATTTATTATATTTACAACAATAAACGATATGCACATGTAAGTAAAATTATTAGACACGTACTTGGTATAGATATTTGTGATATAATAACAGGTAAGTAATACGCAATACGTTTTCAGTACGTTCTTTTTTTTTCTTTAGAAAATATTCTTGTAATGAATAAACGAGTTATTTACATAAGTTTGATGACAACAAATGGTCTTTGTATTACAATCTATGATGTCATAATTTTCCTATTTCAAATAATTAATCAACATTTTTTTCTAAAATATATAGGTCCACATTCATTAATAGAATTGATAAAACTGTCGTTTTCTGTATGATGCGCTAAAACATTGTACATACTCCTACCCAGTCAGCAAAGTCTGTTCGAACAGTATAATTGCCAAACGTCAGCTACAAATTTTTGTCAGCTAGAAAGACTGCAGATTGTATACAAAATCTGTTACAT